CTCCTTCCTCTCCGCTGCTTCTCTGGGTGCTTCTCCCTGCACCTCTACTTAAGGGGCTGGGCCACCTGGCCCTCAAATGCCTGTTCTCCATGGTCCAGATGAAGTTACCTCAGTACCACATGGATACCACACGGGCTGCCCAGCTCCCACCTGGCTGGTTCCCATTCAGGAAGTTTTTCCCCCGTGAAGCTTTGTAAGTGCTCTGGAAAGTTGATAGAGCTCATACTAACTGTAGCAAGCAGCTGAGCTAGCACACGCTGTGGCCCCAAGAGGATGGGCAGACTGGAATTGAACCTCTGCTCAGATGGGAAACTGAGGAAGGAGAGAGATAGGCTAGCCACAGCAGACCTGGCTCAAGGTGGGAGGTCTCATCGTCAGAGGGCTGGGGTCACTGGGCTTGGGGGGACGACAGGAAAGGAACCCTCTTGTGACCCTTCTCAGAAACTTCCTGAAGTGAATGGGCCAGGTGAGGCCCTGAAGGTATGCTAGCTCTTCACTGGTTCCGGAGCCCATCAGGGCCTCAAAGTCTTCTGGACTCTCAAAGTGGGCCCTCTCCTCTGGAGCGAGTATGCCCAGCCCTCTCATTATCCCCACGAGGGAATGTTCAGACACCTGGCGTGTCTTTACCACATTGGATCACATACAGAGACAGGTCCATAGAAAGCCAGGGGAGATGCCACCAAGGCCTCAGCCTTCCAGGGACCAGGCTTTGCTCCTCCTGCCTTCTGGCTTGCTCAGAGCAGCTGGCTGCCAGAGGCAGCAGAGGGTGTGGCCTGGGGGACCTGCTGTTCCCCAAATGAGATAATGTCCCTGTGAGACTCCTTTAGAGCCAGGGGTGCGCTCACACAAGGTGCAGAGAGGCACCGCCTTTCCAAGGAAGCCTCCCCCGCCCCCTGCAGGCTTAACCCCCTCTTCCTCTCTACTCTGACCACCCCCAACACCCACCCAGACACGGGCCTCCCTTAAGACCCACCCCTTTCCCAGAAGTTAATGGAAGAAGCCATTTCTTCCTCTGTGTAGCGTGCCCCCATCTTGTTCCAGTCCCTTGACTGTGCTCACACATGCGCACACAGCCCACTTCCTAGGAGAGCATGGTACCAGCTTAAGCAAGGGCTCAAGTCTCTCTCTTGAGAAGACCCAAGTGTAGGCGAGTTTACTCTACAGAGCAGAAGGCCTGTGGTAAAACCGGGCCTGCTGCTGCAAAGCCGTCACCCTCCCTACCTGACTCCATTGTACCCTCTGACTATCAGCAGGCAGGCCAAGCTAGGTGCTGAGTCCTCAGAGAGGTGGGGGTGCAGTTCACCTTCACAGGAACCCTAAAGCTGGGGGACATTTGTGCTAGCAGGAAGGAAAGGAACACCCCTGGAAACTTCTGGGGGAAAACCAGTCCATGGAGTGCTCCCAGGGCTGGTCTGAAGGCTCCTAATCTCTGATGAGGAGTAGGAACTGGTGACGGAGGAGCACACACACACTCAGGACATCAGGACTGGCAATGGCTAGCCTGACGGGTTCTGGCGCCCAGACCTTGTTCAAGACCACACAGCCAGTGAGCAGTGGAAGCAGGGAAGAGACCAGGTATCCTAACAACCAGCCTGGGTCTTACCATAGCATCAGCTCTTAAGAAGGACCCATCCTGTACCCACACACTCTTCTTGCTGCCCTATAATGAGCTGCTTCACAGTCCACCCCTGAGACTTTGACCTTGGCATTGCTCTCCAGTCATCCCTGTGTCCCACCCTATCCTTTCTAGGTGCTCGCATCCCAAGGAGATGCCAGAGAAGGGATTCCTTAGCCACTCCAGCACCACACAGCCGTGTCCTGAGGGGTCATAGTGGGCAGCTTTAAAATGCTGAGCGTTCTGGTGGGGACTGTGAAATAGTGACTTGTTGCTGCAACAAAATACTCAAGAAAAGCAGCTTGAGAAAGGGAGGGTTTATCTTAGCTCACAGTGTGAGGGTACAGTTTCATTATGGTGGCAGGAGCTTGGAGTCCCATCATGGTGGCATCTTCCCCCAGCTGGTCACATGGTGTCCCACGTTTAGAGTGGATCTTCCTACCTCAAGTCTCATAACTATGATAATTCCTTATATCCAGAGATTTGTCTCCAAGGTGATTCTAGATTCTTTCCAGTTGGCAATCAGTTCACAGTGGTGCCATGCATGCTCTCTTGCTCCAGAACTCATTGAGGTTTTAGTGGCACCACCCAGGTCTGGGGGTGAAGCTAGGCTTTATACAGGAGGATGACCACGTTCCCTGGTCAGCCACCAAAGCCTCCATCTTTCTGATGTCTGATGTGTCCAGAAGCTCCTCCAGCCTGTTGCCAAGTCTCTACGGCACAAACAAGCAGAGGGAGCGCCAAGCCGGAATAATGCAGAATATGAGCTGATGGTTTTCCTAATTTTTCCCCTTGGCTTGGGAATGTAAAATATTATCACTCTTGCCTGGAGATTTCCCCTCCCAGATGTGTTTGGCCAACACTCAGATGAGTTTGCATTCTTTCTGCCGCCTGGTCTCCAAGTCCCAGTTGTTTGCAGAGATTCAAGGCAGATGCTTGTGTGCTGACAACTGGAAGTCAGCTGTGTGTATGTGTGAGTGTGTGTGTGTGTACGCGCGCGTGCGCGTGTCCCCAGAGAACTACTCACGTGTGTGGATGAGTACCTACGATGTGGGATTGAAGCCTCTCACATGTGTGGGTGAGTGCCTATGATGTGAGACTGAAGCCTCTCATACCATGCAACCTGGGTCACAGAGAAGCAGACATATTCTCCACGGACACACAGCCAAATGATGACAACGCTGAGATTAGAACTCAGGTCGCCCCACCCTATCCTCACTTCCCCTGGCATCGCTTCAGACTCCACTGACTTACAAACAAGTCTGTCGGCCCACTCAGCATGACTGAGGACCCTGACGGCTTTGTGTCTCATCCAGGCAAGCAGTCCTACCTCCCAGAATAGACACCAAGCAGACATTTTTCTAAAGTGAAGGTCTGTAGAGAAAATCACACTGAAGAAGTGGCAGAGATTAAGTAGGAGAGTTGGCTCGGCATTTGTCTCACAAGCATGAGGACCTGAGTTTGAATCCCCAGAAGCCATGTAAGAAGCCAGGTGTGGTGGTGTGTGTTTGTAATCCCAGAAATAGTGAGATGGGAGGTAGAGACAGGCTGGTACACGGAGCTCACTGGCTAGCTGCCCTAGCCTCCCTGGTGAAGCTTCGAGTCAGTGAGAGACTCCCCCTCAAACCAAAGGTAAAGGCAACTGAGAAACAACACATGACCACCCACAGGCAATCACACCTATAGACGTGCATGCATTGACGTGTACATGTATGCACATATATACATACATACATGCATGCATACATGCATACTTACATACATACAAAATTAAAAAGGGCATGAAGAAAGGCTGGCAACTTTGGAGAAATCCCACCTTCTCTGTGCCTACTTAGCTCACTTGTAACAAGGGTCTTAAACCCATAAGAAGGGCCCAGAGAGTGCTTTCCAAGAATCCTGCGTTCTGCAGAAGTGGCTTAGATCCACCACGAGGAATGGGGACTGCTCCTTGCCCTTCTTGTCAGCATCAGCCTCTGCTGCTGAGCCTTGTGCAGCAAGCACTTTACCAACTGAGCCAATCCCTTGGCTCTCGTGGGAGATTTTGGTCGCTCTCTCCTAAGATCTTTAGGAAGCTTTTTAGGAAAGTGGGGGGGGTGTTGTGAGAACAGTTGAGTGTCCCTCACAGTGTGGACACTCAACACGCATGCCATAAGCTGTCATGAAGCACTGGGTTGACAGTAGCTAAGGTTACATTAGGCCATGTCCCTCAGTCCTGATGGGAAGCCTTGGTTCCACGTGAGCCATCACCAGCTGAGTTTGAGAACTGATCTCCCACTGATGTTCAAGTCTGCGACTCTGATCTCTTGGGACCAACTGGTCATTTTCAAAGCCAAGTAAGAACCCGAGACAGAGCAGGGCTGCCATCAGCCACAGAGTGAGAGCCGTCAAGGAACTGTGAATTCCCCTCTGTCACCAGCTTGGGGCAGAAGAGTGGCCCATGGCCCAGCCAGCCTCCTGGCATCTCTGCAGTCAGCCTGATAATTCTCATCAAAAACAACTTCTTGTTTTGTTTGTATCTGAGATCAATAATCCCTGAGGAGGGTTATACCCACCCCCACATCATCACCAGAGAAAGAAAGCCAGGGATTTCAGAAAAACCAGAGATTGGTGAGAGCCAAGGTCAGAGGGACAGGCTCCTCTCCTTTAGGAAATCCACCCTCTGCTTAGATTGGGTTGATGCATGCAGTAACTGGATTCTGGGAACTTAAATGTCTCTTTTCTGTAGCCAGGCTTTATTCCTCTCTTCCTCTGGGAGACTGGGTGTGGGTAAGATGGAGGTCTGGCCAGTTCTAGACTGAACTCCATGACGGACACTGCTCTGACCTGAAGTCAAGAGAGAGAGAGAGAGACCCCCCCCCATCTCTGCAAAGAGCCTTTTCGTTCCTGAGCCCTCCATCTGGACCCTAAAGAGGGTGATCCTGTCCCAGCTCCCCAAGCTCTTTGATCTCCTTAACAGCTCACCTGCTGAGCAAATTAACCTCACAGAAGTGCAAGACTTCCGTCTCACAGGGCTGGTGTGAGATCTAGGTGCTCGGTGTAAAAGTAATAGCTGTTGCTAGCATCCTGGTCTCTACTGGTCCACACTATGCATAAACAAGACCTTGACTCCAGGCACTGGGGCACCTGCAGCGAAAGACGGTCCTCTGTTCAAACTATATCTTCCCAAAGTAGGGTCTTTGCCTCCTACCTTGAGGCCATTCCTATACCATCAGACTATGGATCCTCCCAAACATCTCACACAGGGGCTTCTCAAAGACAAGGTCACCCACCTGCCCGCCTCACAGTCCAGCCTCTCTGAGGCAGAAGAGCAGCCAGAAGGCCCAGACACACCCCCAGGCAGCCTGCACCCCCAGTCTCACCGTTTCTCTTTTCTGCTCTCATTCAGGATTCACAGACACCTTTAACATGGATACCAGGAATCCCCGGGTCATCGCTGGTCCCAGTTCTGCCTTCTTTGGCTACACAGTCCAGCAGCATGACATCAGTGGCAAGAAGTGGTGAGTGGGCCCTGAGACCCCCTAACCAGGGCTGTTCATATTCAGCGCCCTCCTTCCTACCTTTGGCCTGCCAGCTGCCTGGACTGGTTCTCCCGGGCTTCCTGATTCCTGGGAATTGACTCTCCATCCCAGCAGGTCAAAATCTGGTAGGCTATGTCTCTGAGACCTTGAACATCCAATGTCATGGGCTCTTCTTTGTCTCATATGTGAAATGGGGGGAGGCCAAACCCCTTTTCCAGGTTCAATGACCAAAGGGAGCAGGACTAGGAGCTACTCACTGGTAATGCGTTCTCAGAACTCGGTGTCTCAACCGTGAAACCGTACCTGAGAGTGGTTGGGGTGTCTGGGGGTGGGTGTGAGGTTGCTCATGAGAGGCAGAGGTAGTAGGGGTGGGGGCAAAATGAGGCTGTGAGTGGGAATGGAGAGAAAGCCAGCAATAGCCCAGGACCACCAGGTGGGGCAATAAAGAGGGAAGCTTCAACCTCTAAGTTTTAGATAACTTTACTATGAAACAGCTTATTCGATCATTTGATCTAATCATGCCAAGTGTATAAATCAATGGTGATTTTAGTAAGTTTGCTAGGTTTCCTGACCATCCCCACAAGCCAGGATTAGGACATTTCCATCTTCCCCAAACACAATCCGCACACACCTGCACAGTTCAACTGGGCTTTTCTCCCTGGCGGGTTTTCAGCAGGTAGACAAGGGCTTAGCACTTCTCCACATTCTCAGAGCCTTCCCAGCGAATGCTGGCCACAGGTGCCTCCCACCCTGCTCTGCTCAGTCGAACCCCTGCCTGACTCACCTCTCTGACCTTTCTACTCCCCTCCCCTTCCTCTGCTCAGCACTCTCTCCAATTGGCTCCATAATTCTCTGGACCTACCTGTAGACTCTCCATCCTCCCGTGGTGCCCTCTCCTGCACCCCTACCCCTAACCAAACAACCCTCCTCCCTCTTTTCTTCCTCCCCCTCCACTGCTACCTCTTCCTCCTCCTCCTCTTCATTCCCCTCCTATTCTTCCCGCTCTTTCTCCTCCGCTGTCTCTTCCTTCTCCTTCCTCTTCCTCCTCCCAGTCCTCATCCTACTTCTCTACCTCCATACCTCTTCCCCTCCTCCTCCTCTTCTTCCTCCCTCTATTCTCAGTCCCTACATCCTCATTTCTTCTTCTTTCTTCGCCTTGATTTTCTGTCTGTTTAGGTCTAGCTTACATCCTGGTGTGATTATCTTGGGTATACAGCCCAAAGAAATTTCCCATACATCTGCATAAACAATCAGCTCCCAATATAGATGTAGACCACTCAAGTACCCAAAAGGCTCTTTTGTGCCCCTCACCAGTCAGTACCCCCCCCAGGTAGGCATGATTCTGATTCCTGTCACCATAGATTCATTAAGCCGGGTTTGTGTGTGTGTGTGTGTGCACACATGTGCGTGTGTTGACGACATCATTCTACAGGTTTTCATTTCCACCAGGCCTTTTAAATTCAACCCTGCCTGTGAGGTTGGCCACATTGTCCCGAGAAGCTCACTGTCTGCCGTTTCATTGCTTGAGGAATTCTGTTGTATTGCTATGTCATTCTTGGTTTATTCTGCTGCTGATGGATACTAGAACTGTTTCCAATCTGCGCTGCTCTGTTGGAGCCGTTGCTTTTGTCCTTCTGCTGCTAGGTGTGTCTTTTGAGAAAGAAGTGTGATCCTTGGTGCTGGGCATGCACGCATGGTTAGAGATGAAGGGCAGGTACATGATTGGCGTGAGGAGGATCTGCCAAGCATTTCATTTTTCCCCGAAGTGCTTCGCTATTTAATCTCTCTAGTGAAGTAAGAGAGTCCCAGTCATCCCACATACTCACTACCATGGGACAATATCCTTTAATTTTAGGCATTCCAGCTGCACATAGTGCTGGTTCATTGGAGACCGGGTTTGCTTTTCTCTGTTTACTAACGGTATTGAACAACTGTTCATAAAGTGGGTGGACATTGTACTTAATGAAGTCTCTGGTCAAGTCTTTTGCCGTGTGTGTGTGTGTGTGTGTGTGTGTGTGTGTGTGTGTGTGTAGTGTTAGTATTTTGACTGATGGGTTGAGATTTTTTAACTTGAGATTTCTTGTTTTGGCCCTTGTCTTTTCTTTCCTTCCTTCCTTCCTTCCTTCCTTCCTTCCTTCCTTCCTTCCTTATTTCTTTCTTTCGTTTTATTTTTCTCTTTTTTTATAATTTGAATTCAAGCTTGTTCCGTTGGGCTAACACTGAATTTGTTCACTATAAGACTTTCCAGCTCTATGTTTAGGAAGTTTGTTTCTGTTTTGCCTCATGAAGTAGCTCGTCTTGTTTACTTTCTTGTCTATATTGTCTAGCATATATTATATGGCATCTCCGTCATTCAGACTCCAGAAATATGCTGAAAGGTATTCTCAGTTCTACTCCTCAGACTCTCAGGAGTCCTCGAGGGGGCATTTGGGTTTTCTTTGTGGATAGACTTTCTTTCTGTTTAATGAAAAAAAAATTTTCATATAATGCATTTTAGTGATGTTTCCCCTCCCCCAACTCCTCCCAGACCCTCTCCACCTTCTTACCCACCCAACTTTCATTCTCTCTCTCCCTCTCTCCTCTCATACACACACACCTCTCAAAAAAAATCAAAATAAACAAAAAGCTAATAAGACAAAAAATGCCAAAGCACACACAAAAACCACAAAATTTGTTTTGTATTGGCCAGCTGCTCCTGGGCATGGAGCCTACCCTGGAGTATGGCTAATAAACCAGAGATACTCCATTGGAGAAAACCCATTTTCCCTTTCCCGACCAGTATCAAGTGTAAATAACTCCTTAGTTAGAGATGGGACTTTGCATCCGCTTCTTCCCCTTTTCCGACTCTGTGTGGCGTGAACCTCTGCGGGAGGGGGGGCACCCCGGCTTGGGAGAGGGGCTTGATGAGGACATCCCATTCAGGACTGAGTGCTCCAACTTCCTGAAGATAATGGGCAGTGCAGCTTTCCAGTTGCTCGTGGTAGTGTTGATAGCATTTCTCCAGAAATCCCTCCTCTTCATTCAAGTTTTACTAACAAAATATCAACCATTGCCCTCCTGTTTCGATTTTCAGAGTCTTTAAGTTCTATGGCATGTCCTCATTTTCATGCTTCTCAATGGCAGCTAATGCTGTCACCCTTTGTCACATGTGTGTATCAATTTATTGGAGTTTTATAAGGATTGATGGGGGGCTTGTTTTTAAGATTTATTTATTTTTATTTCATTGCATTGGTGTTCTATCTGCATGCATGCCTGTGTGAAGGTGACAGATGCCCTGGAACTGGAGTTATAGACAACTATGAACTGTCATGTGTGTGCTGGGAATTGAACCCAAGTCCTCTGGGAGAACAGCCAGTGCTCTTAACTGCTGAACCACCTTTCCAGCCTCACCTTGTATAAATCCAGATATTGTCAATTTTAGTAAATTCCCATGTCACTCGATCAGTCTGTTATGTTTTTATTGGGTCTTTTTCTGCATGTCAGTTATATTAACAGGGCTGTGGTGTTCAAATGTCTACAACTTCACTGTTTTTAGTCTGGTGGGTTTTGGGGTGGTTGGGGAGTCTTTTGGTCTGCTTATTCATCAGTTTCTGAGATGTGTTTATTAAAGTCTCCAGAGATTATTGGGAATTATCATTTAGTTCTGTCAGCTTTACTTTATATATCTTGACATTGTTGGTTAAGTATATAAATTGCTATTAGGTGGACCAATTTAGCACTACAGCCTAGTATACTGTTTCCGCTCTGTTGCCATGATAAAACACTCTAACCAAAAGCAACCTGGAGAAGAGTGTGTTGCCTATCCTTCCGTGTGTTGACTCGGGTCAACAGGCTTAGCAGCAAGCACCTTTACTCAACAGGCTTAGCAGCAAGCACCTTTACTCACAGAGCCATTTCGATGGCCCTACCATTTCAAGTGATAGCCCATGATGTTCTGACTTCACAGCACCTGGGGAGATGTCATTTGTCTTTTGAATATGGTGTGTCACTTCCCTGTGGCTGCTTTTTTGTCTGTGTCTAGTGTCAGGAGTCTGAATTTAGTTTGTCTCTGGGCTCTTCTTTTTGCATTTTCTCTGCCTCGGGTTTTCCAAGCTCCTTGAATCTATCATTGGTAAATCACATCAGATTTGCAAGATCGCTGCCTTCCGTGAGGCTCTGCAATTTGTATGTGCTGGGCTTCAGTAGGAAAAGCCCTCAGAGGGAAGCCGGGTGAGTGTGGACTAGATGCTGCCGGGCCTTCCTTTAGTAGCAGGCTCTGCTTTGGTTGCTGCCTGCTGTCTACTGCCTGCAAATGGCTGTTTCAAACGTTTTGTCCATTTTTCCTAGTAGTTCACAGCCGAAGTGAAAAGCCTCCTTTACACCATTCTGTGCGATCTTCTGTGTCTTTTTCCCAGAAAAGCCGTCTGTGACCTTCCTTTCCCTAGAGTAGCTGTCCCCACAGAAGTCTGTATTTCCTTTTCATAGCATTTTTTTTTCTCTCAAGTAGAGTCATAATTCTTTGTGGAGTCAGGGGCAGAATGACTGGCATTCATTAGGGGCTCAAAGTCGGAGACGTAAGCTTCTCTCCATTCGCTACATAGGATGCAGGCCACCCATATTCTTTTCCTCGAGATTTATTTCTGTAATGCTAAGGATTCACGATGCTAAGCAGACACTACACAACTGAGCTATGATCCTAGCCCCAGTATGTGCATTCTTTTTTTTAATTTATCTTTATCATTTTAATGGTACATGTGTGTGTGTATGTCCATGATAGCCAGAGTGTTGGATCCCCTTGGAGCTGGGTTTGTGGGGAGCCGAAAGTCACCTGATATGTATGTTAGGAACCGAACTCATATCCTCTAGAAGGGCAGTAAGCATTCTTAACCACTGAGCTATCTCTTCAGCTGCTCAGTATGCATATTCTTTATAAGGTATAAAAGACCAAAAAGGGGGGTAAGTACTACACATCAACCTCTGGTCTCTGCATGCACACACGA